ACCCAGATGTGGGTTGGTTTGAAAAGGCAGGAGCAGATGGAAAGAAATTGGATGCCTGGAGCTGTGGCAACAGTTGGGACCTGAGCAGCGGTTCCGGCTACTGACGACGAAGCAGAAGGCAGAGAGAAAGCAACAAGACTGGCCTGTGAGTTTGCAAGACTTTTTGCTGGAGAGGCTGGAGAAGGTGGGTATTGTAATGCCCATCCATGGTCCTTTTGGTTAACTCCTTTGGGTAGAACTGGTTTGAATACAGCCAGGATGACCACTTGGCAATGGATCTCCTCAGGTGTGAGGGTTATTATAATTTGTTGTAATTTTTGTTATTTGCATATTGTCTTAGATTATGAAATTTGGTTACAATGTTCCAGCTTTCTCGCACAGGGCCCATTGCAGAGGATTGAGTACACACAGATTGAGAGGAAAGAATCCTGGAGGGGTGGAGTGTGGATAAAAAAAGTTCCTGTGGCCAGGATTCTCACCTGGCCCTGGGTGGCTAGTTCACTACAGAGGTGTGGGCAATACGTTGGTACTGACTCTATATAAAGAGCTCTTCCTAGTGCTCTGGGTAACACTGTGGCACGGCTGCAGGAGAGCAGAGCAGAGGCTGGAGTGGTGGCAGTGCTGAGGACAGAGCCAGAGACAATTGTGCAGGCAGAGAGGCCCCAGAGGACGGCTTGCTGCATGCAGGCTTGCTCTGAGTGAACGGGATTTTAGTGACTGACCTGCCACTGTGGAAATAAAGTTGGGTATAACCCTTTCTCCCCAAGAACATTTTACTGTCATTTCTTTGGTCACACTGAATCTGTATGAACTTGCCCAAGGCAGAAACCCATTGGCAAGATACCACGTTCCACCCAAAATAGGATGATCAAAATAAGCCAATTATCTTTTTCAGGAATTTGGGCAGAAAGACATTTGAGGACATACATACAAAGTTAAGTTGATGAATACATGGTAGCTGAGGGAATTTAATGGCATATTCTTAGAGCAGGGATTAATAAAAGATCACTAATAGGAAGGTCAGTCAGCATGATTCCTACAGCTGCACTGAACAGAAAATAACCTTCCAGTTTCTGGGGCTGTAATTTGAGAAAATTTGGTTCTGTCATTTTTTTGTGAGTTTCCAAACTCTGATTACTAGATGTATCCTAACATTGAACTTCTATTACTTTAGGCAGATTGAGTGTGTCTGTGATCCTTGAAGCATATATTAGAAGGAAGAGAGAGACAAAAGAGGAACAGAGGGGAGGAGAAGAGGGAAGAGAAGACAAAGAGCCTGGTTCAACTGAACATTTACAATAGTGCCTCAGAGTGTTACCAGCTTTAACTCATTACTTTTCACACAAAAATGAGTTCATTCTGTCATTACCATCAATTTATAGATAAGGAAGCTGAGACATAGGGAGGTTAAATAAGTTGCCTGAGGGCACATCACCCCCAAGAGACTGAATATTAGTTGGAATCCAGACCATCTGAATCCCCAGCCCTTGCTGCACACCACTGTGTCATCTTGCCTCCAGAAGTTCAGCCATGTCCATTATTCATTAGGTACAAAGTGGAAGACAGGCAAAAATGAAAGGTTTCAAACAACAGTTGAATAGCAATCAGTCTCACATGTAATAGCAGAGTGTTATCCAAGCTATTTGTAATATATAAGGGCAATAGTTATTTGGGACTCATCGTTTAAAGGGCAGTAGAAAACTACAGAACATCTCACTTCCATACAGTGGTTCAACTCATGATCTAGAGTTAATCAGGCCATAAAAACATTCCAGCTGCACCATTTATTAGCTCAACAATCTCAAGTGAACAACTCACAGCATAAATCCCCACAGATGTAAATTGGGATAAGATTCCCAGCTTCATAGAGTTGTTTTTAGGGTTAATGAGATAATGAGGTAGTGAGATAATGAGAAATAATATGAAAATATCCTATTAAGTGAACAAAACTGTATTTGCAATGCATGGCAGGAGGTAAAGTGTATTCAGGTTCTGCACTTAAGAATGGGAGTAACTGATGACAAAAGTGTTTATCAGGCTGTGAAAACATCCCAGCTGTACCATAACTACCATAAAAGGGTAGTTTTGCTTTTATAAAAAAAATACATCCGTATTATTTTGCTCTTTTGCCATCAGAAGGTACTCACGTGCTAATATATATTAATCTTACCTGATACATATTAAAGAATCAGAAAGTATATATTGTCACTGATTCCCTTTGGCATGAAAGACACTTATAATTCTAACTTTAGATAATCTAATGGGAATTAAACCCATTTTTGTGAAAATAGATAATATACAAATAGGGTATAAAACCAACTTATATCTGAACGTTTTGAATGTCATTTTTAGTTACAAATTGAGAATATATTTTCCATTATAGAGAGATCAGATCATCTTGATCTTTCAACACATCAGAAATCTATATCTAATAACGAAAGTACATCTAATAAAGGAAAAATACATTTTAAGGAGAAGTAATGATAGATGTTTCTTGACACAGCAATCCAAAAAAATAGACAACATTCTTAGTAGCAAACAACAGAACCCATTCTAGCTAGAATTAGGCAGGAAAGGGATTCTGTACAGGAATCACAAAAGTCTTGGGATCTTCAGGAGTGCAGAGCGTCAGCCTCAGAGAACGAGAAGCCAGGAAAGATGCACAAGCCACACACTGAGACTGGCTGGTTGAAGACCCCATTGAAACTTAACACTGACCAATTGCACAGCTTTTACCACTTCTGTCCTTGAAAGCGGGATCCTGCTGCCTCTGCACTAACCGGGAAGGATGAGTGGGGAGAACGAATTCTGTAAACACCTGCATTTCCCTGTGCCTGCTTAGGAAATCAAGTCCTGTTCAGCTGTCACTTTGTTAGAGCCTTATTCAGAAATCTGCTCCCTAACAGTAAAGAAGGTTAATTAAGTAAGACTTTTGGTTTCTATCTTGGGGAAGTGAAAATTAAGGCCTGCCAAAATATTTAAAGAAGTGTATAAAAGGTATTGGGTAACCAGAAAACACATCAGATGTCCACCAGAGACAGTACTTACATATATAATCAAAGTCCTTATTTTAGCAGACTTAAAGCAGAGCCATTGTATAACAAAACACAATAAGCGATTTTTGTAGCTGTTTTGCTACATGTTTTAGTTAATATTGCCAAATGCATTTCAATATCTTTTGACAGTTTGACAGTTGATGTCATAGTACTTAAATGAAAACACCAGGGGTGTATTGGGAAATTGAATAAACATCTCTTCTTTCAGAGATATCTTTGGATATTTCCTGTAGGTTGAAAAGCTAGTAGATATACTACAGTTTATGAATGCCTGTTCAACTTAATTAAATATGGCTTGAAATGAAATAGAAATTTTAAATATTAGAAGGCATAAAAATATGCCTATGAAATGTATCCAAAATAACTTCACCCAACAAAAATCAATGTATTGATTCCAGAATTTAGCTAATATTTAGGTATCTTTTAGAGGCATCATTTATAGTAATTTTTCTAGAAATTTTAAGTTTCTAGAATAGAGTCAAGAATTAGGAAGTAAGCAAAATAATTTGCAAGGTCAATGCACAAGAATGTATCCACTTTGCAAGTTGCCCACAGAGTACCACTCATAGCATACTCTTCCTTATTCTTTGAACAATTAAAATGAGCTTATGTTGAGGTATCAAACCACACTAGCACTGAGTACATGGCCTTCTTGAACATAGTAGTGGAAGCCTTGATACTAAGGATGGAGGTAGAAAATGAAAGATAAGATGTAGACATAAGAATTCATAAAGCAGACCCGAGATAGCTTTGTCTAGGGCCAAACCTCTCAAAGAGTGTTCAGTACTCCCAAAAGTATAGCTATTCTATGGTACAATGTTCCTGATATTGCAGATAACTATAAATTATTCTTCACACACTCTCTGAGGAAAGTTCCTAGAGATAAGCAAATTTAGAAAAATTTTATCAAAACAAAACTCTTTAAATTTGGAGAAGCTTCCTGTTTTGAATCATTTGAACATGAATATTAGTAAGATGTAACAAATAGGAGTAGCTCTCTTGGGCCTGCTTTAGGGGTTCTTTATGAAACATCAAAGTATAAATGGATAGGCTATCACTTTTTTGGGTGATGAAAAATAACTAGAATATATATGCAAGAGATCATAAAATTCCAAAATCACTAGGGCTAAGGATTGTCTCACCTCATTACCATAGATATCCCACAACACCCAATTTTTATTTCTTTTCATTGTCTAGAATGACATTCATTTTTTAATGCTCACTTTAAGCAGAGAGCATGGAAGCAACAGATGAAAATCCTGGAGTTTGTCTGGTTTCTATCTCACCTTTAAAGCTCTGCTCTTTCAAACTGTTTATCTTTTCAAAAGAGCTTAATTCTGAATTTTTGAATTGATTTAGTTTAGATTCTGAATCTCAAGATGTGAACCTGAATAGAAAAACATGTTCCTTTATTGTAGAAAATAAACGATTTACTATTTGATTAATATTTAGTTTAGATTCTGAATCTCAAGATGTGAACCTGAATAGAAAAACATGTTCCTTTATTGTAGAAAATAAACGATTTACTATTTGATTAATATTTATTGTTTCCAATACATTATCAAATATTTGAAACAAAAACTTCCTTTATGCACTCTAACACTTCACAAGTTACAGGCTGTTGCCCAACTGTAATAGCAAATACATAGACATTAATTGTTAGTAATTATAGAAATTCTGACAGTCAGACCTTTGTGGTTTAATTTGGTATGATCCCACCAACACGGTGCTAATTGAGCAGCCCACCACACCCATACAAATGATTTGTGTCATTTCAAATGATCTGTGGCACACTTCCCAGTCAGTAGAATGGATATAATAAAGTTCCAATAATTTCCTTCTACTCTCCATCCAATATTCATTAGGCTCCTCACTCTTCACAAAGTTTAAAGTATATCACATGAAATACACAAATGATAAAGCAATGTCTATTTGAGTACTCACATTGATGTCTTCCAAATCTAAATTATTCAGAATAATATTATTCCTTTTCCAGATGATGGGGGGTCTCAGTGCTCCTTGAATGGCACAGCTCAGAACAGCACTTTGTCCCACCGTCGCTGCTGTGATGCTTAGTTTCTGATCTTCAGGCAGACTCAACTGGATAACCTCTGTGTAGATAAAGTGTCAGTAATGTTGATGAGCATGTGGTTTTATAAGGTTAATTAGTATAAAGTTTCTGAATGCTACTAATTAAGGCTTTGAATTTAAATAAAATGGAAAAAAAGCCTGTGATGAAATGAAAAAGGAGTAAATTGTTTCCAATAAAAGGTCAGAATGACATTTCAATTTAATTGATTGACAAGCATCCTCATGAGGCAAAGAACTATTAAACATGAAATGAATATCAGAAGTAGAGTTATAATAAGCCTGGCAGATTGCACCCAAAAGAGAGATAAATTATTTAACTGCCAAATCGACATGTAGTGTGTCATTGGCATTGAAATAAAAATGATGTTGTTTATTCACTGATAGATTTATATTGTAGGTGAGGTGAGATCATTGCTGGCTGGCTTCAGAGAACACTAGCATAGCTGAATGAGTAAAATACATCATTATGCTGGGAAACATAAATTGACTCTAAAGGAATAAGATTTATTTGGGACGTTGAAGGAGGACAAACTGAAGTTCACCAACCAAATAGCAATGAAGTGAAATCCTGTCAGCTGTCTTTATCTAACAGGGTTGGTACAGTACGGTCCTTCCTGATCCTTACATTTTAAGGTTAAATATCATTTTTGACTAACCATTGAACACATTTCTCCAAATAATTATGTTGAACCAGAAAACAGAATTTGTAATCTGGATCTGGCTTTCCTTCTCTGTTTTCAGGCAATCCTTGCCAACAGGTCTGTCACCGTTCATCACCGAGAGAGAGGATGGGTCCCCCTCAGTTTCCATCCACATGCATGCTGCCCTTCAGTCTTCAGCTGACATTCACAGACACTCTAACTTTGCCACATTATGACTGAGTCTTGCATTTTGATGTTGCTCGGTCTTAGCCAGGTTAGAAATATCACAAATCACTATTCCCACTGAATTTTCCATGTGGGTAGGAGGACAAATTTGTCCTTCATCCCTTTGTTGTGGTTAATGACATTTTTTATGAGGGGGTTAATTTGTAATAAATATGATCAGATGCAATCATTTTTGTGTCCCCCAAAATACCTCCTTCTTCTTTTTAACCATTTTACCTTCTTTTTTCTCTTTCTGAATCCAATTTCTTCTTGAGAAGGAAGAGAAACACTAACCAAATAAATTTCATAGAATATAATGATTTAATAAACAGTTCTCTGAGTTTTGGTACCATCACAAGTTGTGAAGTCAAAAATTGCGCACATCTTTGTATCAAAAGACTGGACTGAACATTTTAACCCCCACATGGGCATGTCAAGTGTTAGTGTTAAGTGTTTTCTGTTGTCATGGATCACTGGATGCCACACCACTAGCTTAAGAAAATAAGTGGAAATAGATGGACACATATTCTGTTATACAAAACCTAGTCTAAACCTAAAAACCTTATTTATGGCATCACTGTTTTATGTTGTCGTGAACTGACTAGGCATGCTTAAAATAACAAAACCCCGAGACTCAGCACAGGTTTATTCTTTTGGTCACTACATAACTGATAAAAGTGATAGAAACTGGTAACAAACATCTCATTCAGCCATTTGTATTAACAGTTTAATGTTCCCTAAAGGCATTTATCCATATTCAAACTTATGTTTCCTTAGTAAAAGAACATACAGTATATTTGCAATCTTCTTTTCTTTAACACTTATTGTACATATATATTGATATGTACATAAAATCACTAAAAGAAAAAAAATTTTGACCAAGTAGGCACAGGAAAAGTTTGAAGTTTGCAAAACAGTGTTTCTTTATGTCTTTTAAAAAAATTTTACAAATTACAGGAAGAGAATTATAAAAGTAATATCATGTAGAGTATCATAAAAGAATCATTAATTATTTTCCATTAACATTCTTGAATTCCAGCTTCTGGTTCCTCATAAAATCATGTAAGAGATAATGAGACATCTGGTACTAAAAAATAGCATGTTAGCATTGGCTAGTCTCACATTTAGAAATACAACTGATACTAAGTCACCTTGGAATCTCTTCACTCACCTCCTGCATCTGTTATTAGGTCCCAAGCCATTGACATTAGTTGTGTTTTTGGTACTTATATATTACAACGTTAATTGGGCAATATGGACATCTTAGAATAAATGCTGAGATTTGACATAACTTTATGTTGGACATCCTTATAAAACACAATTTTTTGGAGAGGATGCATAATTAGAATTAAGAATTACTATTCCTTCAGGGACTGTTAGCAGGCACAGTAAAAACCTTTTATTTAATTTGGAGATCACATTTCAAATTATTTTAAAACTATCTCAGCAATATGTATTATTAAATAATTGTATGTGTCTTGAAAACTCTTTAGGATATTTTTCCTGCTAAACATTTCACCTCTTCCCTAATATATTATATATAACTATGTATATAAAACCAATTATGTTCACCTGTTTTTCCTAAAAATCAATTGATGCTTTCCTTAAATAAATTGAGCAGCAAGATTTCTTTTACCTACAAAGTTGTCATGCTCATCTTTACTAGTCTTTCTGCTAGTTATTAACAAAGATTTAAGCTCACAAAATCACAAGTGTTAAACATTTTTATTCTTATATTTCAAATTTTATCAAAAATGATTTAATATTGAATAAAATGCTTATGAAACAGCAAATGTAAATTTTGTAGAGAAATGGTGATTATGTCTAGCATTTCATTAACAAACAGAAACAATAACTATGAATAGATCTGTAATTTAAAAGTGATTTTAAGACCTATTAGTACAGGTTGCTTATCTTTGAGCACTTGTATATATTTATGTAAATATAACCATAGTTGTTAGTTTATAAATGAGTTTCAATGAAAATGTTGGAAATTTAATTCCTTATCAATTATGGTCATCTACATTTTCCTAACTATACAGTAATAATGGCATATTTCATTATATAGCATTCTACCCACAAACATCTGCTACTTAAGTACAGATAACTGCTGTGCAACAAATAACATATATCATTTTAGCACACTTTATCCCTTCAGCTCCAATGATAATGCATGTCTGAAAACTCCTCTTTGAATAAAATCATATAAATCATTTGATGTCCTGACCAAAGGTAAAAACATATAGGCTAGATATAACAGATGGTACTGAGCTTTTTGAAGTTTTTCAATACTTCTCTTGACTTATAAGCTTTGCCTCTTATTGTAGGTTCTATCAAGTATTTAAGGAAAGAAATTGGAGCTCTAGCCGTGGTGTTTCCTTTGACCACATGTTATGAAGACTATTAATGCCATTTCCAGACCAGCTTTTTTCTTGTGATTACTTGGGAGAGCTGAGGCAAGTAAAATCGTTTCTCCCTGTGGATCCCTTTCTGCACTTTTTCATTTTCACAACTTGTCTTAAAGGAATATTAAGATCTTTCTTTCAAAAGAATGAAAAATTGTAAGTCTCCTCTAGCAGAATCTGAAACCAGAGACAAGAACAGCAAAGTACAAGTCTAACCACAGTAGATAAGTGTTTATCAAGAATTTATTCGAAGAGCAACTAGAGGATAGAAATCGTAATAGGAACTTGAAGAAAATATTGTGTGATTTTTGCATAACTCAGGAAAAAAATTAAATATTACAGATATTTGTGAAGTACTAGCAAAAAAAGATGATTTTGCTAACTTTAATGGGAAAGTAATTCTTTTAAAATTCTGAGAACATAATTTATCAAAAATGGGATTCTGTTTTTATAAATACCTACCTCTTTTCAAGTTTCTAAGCATATACTTATTTATATAAATATTTAATATAATTTATTTAAATACTAATATATACTGTAATTGCCCTGATCATGAAGACATTTTATCAGTATTTTCAAGTAACATATTCACTTCTTTACTCCACTAAGAATAAAATTACAAATTAAAATCAGATAATAATAAAATACTTGTCAGAAATACATCACAGAAAAAAGACACTTAGGAATTCTAGATGGAATAAATTAATTACTTTCCTAATAAGAAAACTACAATTACTCAATGACAAGATCCTTAACTAACTGGGAAATTCTAATAGTCTCCTTTGTCAAGAAAAAGGTGATTTCAAAATAAATATAAATTCTTACCTAATTTAGACATATCCAGGATATATATTAATTTATTTTGATAAAAATTTTATACTAATTACTTACCTTTAAACTTTTGTGTTATCATATCATAATGTCTATTTTAAAAATAAAACAAATCTAAAAAGATCTAGAAAGTTCACTTCTTCAGTAGCAATGGATTAGATAATTTGGGCTAATTCTTCCACTGAAGAAGTAAAACAACAAACAGATTAAATACAAATATTTTAAAGAATAGATGAAAGAGATATTATTTCTCATTTTTATCTTATGAAAGAGGTAAGACAGTGAGGAATTGCCCAGCCTATGTCCAGAAGAGAACTGTAAATTAGAGAGATGACATTACATCTGGAGCCTTTCATTACCTCAGGAATATTTCCATGTTGAAAAGATGACTGAGGCCTAAACGCCCTTATGTGGTTTCTTGTTGCTCCAGGCCTAATGATGGGCTACCTCTTTGTCTATGCCTGGACTTTGAGCCACCTCACTCCGCAAGGGAATGTTTGGACTGCAGCCTACTTTTATCTAGGTGTCTACTGTAGAGAGCAAAGCATAAAGTCTTCTCCTCTACAGTAAGAAAATATCACCCTAGCCATCTAATCCTTGTTTTAAACTATTTCTGAAATAAAATATCCAGCAGTCTGGGATAACAAGGTACACAGAATAAAGAATGATGAGAATGAGCAAAAATAACATATAACCGTGGCAAACCCGTTGGGATTGTAAAACATATTGATTATGAAACAAAATCAGTTTAGAAATCTTGACAAAAAAATTAAATATATTATCTATAAACATTGTAATTCATGAAAGAACAAAGTAGAAATTATGCAAGTAGAAAATGTAATATGTAACATTAAGAATTATTTTGGTGTACTTAAGAGCAGATTACACACAGCAGATAGGAGAATTAGTAGCTGGGAA